GTTGCGCCTCAAAATCCCATGCCTCTCCGAAACTGTATGTCTCGCCGACCCGCATCCCCATCATTTATGGAACCAACACCAAAAGAACTGGCACACCTTCTTCCACGCCCTCTACCAATCACAACACATTCCCAGGATTGACAGTTCGTATCTCCACCGAAACTTGGAAATTCCGTGGGAAAGGTAGAGCTCTCCGTGCCTTCTTCCACACCTGGTTTGACCTGTTGGATAACGCAGCCATGCCATTGACATTCCCCTACCGTATTTGACACACTGGGCCCGCCAGACGCCAGGTGTGTCTGTTCTTTACTAATGCCTCTCAGGCGTTAGCATTCGTTAACGCTTGGGATAGCCACCGGTCCCGGATTGTCAACAATGCTGCATTCAACGTCTCCTACCAGTCACCCTCCGAATGACGGTTAGCAGTGGGGAAGTCTTTGATTGATTGCGCTCCCTCGCCGCACCATAGTATTTCTCCTAATTGTATTAGTACTACGGGTAATTTGAACACTCTTAGCTTCAATTTGGGGGGCTGTCTTCAATCTAACCTTCTCCACTCTGAGTTCTGCGAGTTACTGGACAACGTTCACATTGCATGTATCCAGGAAACTGACTTATATCCTGATGAGGTATGGCACGCCCCAGATAATTTTTCTGTTTTTTCTCAAGCTCGACCGATGGAATACTTCGACGCTCCCTCTGGTGGGGTCGCTACCTTTGTCCGCTTGGACCTACATGCAACGTTACACGAGGACCTCTGTGGGCCCGACATTGTGACAGTCGAAGTGGAAGGTATTCTCTTCATTAACGCGTACCTTCTTCCTTCAATCTCCAAGTTTGACTGGTCCCGGTGGACTGATACATCCCCATGGGACGCCTTCAGAGAGATCTGCACACTTGCCGCTAACCTTGACAAACCTTTTTGCATTCTAGGAGACCTTAACGCCCACACCGGCTCCCTTCAGCCAAACGCCGTACACCCATCTCGGACTTCACCCAATACTCACTGCTCTTCCCGAGGATCACACCTTCTGACTCTATGCGACAACCTCAACTTAACCATTCTGAATGGTTCAGAGCACATCCCGGGCACCCACTCTCGCTGGACCTCGTTTCAAAAACGGGATGGGATATACAACACCTTGGTCATTGACTATGGCATCTGCTCAGCCTATAGCTCCTCTAACATCGCCTCCTTTGATATCTCAGATAGAACGAGGTGGTCTGACCACGCGTTCCTATCTTTGCAGATCCTTTCACCACACTCCACTCTCCCTCCTCCTCCATCTATGAAACGGAAGCATCCCGAATTCACTTTACCATTGGTAACGCACCTTGACCACCTTCTCGACGAGGTTCTACATACCTCCCCTCCCAAGGCCAGTAACAAACTAGGGAAACTATATGGTTTCAGTAACCTCGACCCCGCTCATGCTGGAACACATGGTCTGAAGGTTTACGCTGATGGGTCGGCTACCAATAATGGACAACTAGGTGCTACAGTGGGCGCAGGGATTTATGCGGGCCCCGCTCACCCCTTCAACACCACTGCACGGGTGACGGGAACACCTTCCAACAACCGGGCAGAACTTTACTCAATATTACTGACCGTACAAAAGACCCCGCTACATCGCGTACTGGACATCTTCACAGACTCCACATACGTGATACACTCCCTTGTACATTGGTCTATCCACAATGCTAAATGCGGATGGGTTTGCGTCAACGGTGACCTTCTCAGACTGATCGCAAGCTGGATCGCGGCACGCTCAGCTCCTATCCGCTTCCATCATGTGAAAGGTCACTCTGGTAATAAACACAACGGTGCCGCAGATGCCTTGGCAAAACATGGCGCAGGACTGCCCCTACCCATCCCCTTCTCTCCTGCAGACTACTACCATGTGCCCACTCCTATCCCTTTTACGGTCCCGCTAGGATATCCAAAGGTCTATACAGATCTCCCTGAAGACCCAGCTCCCTGCAAACCACACCCATCTCGCCAACATTCCTTCCACCGCAACCACCGACACAGGTCATTCAAGCGACAACTTCAGGATGGGATCCTGCACCGCCTTATCGAATGCTCTTCCGATTCGGGTGCATTCTGGAGACTTTACAAGCGCCTTCGCTACCCAGGCAATGCTCCTACTCTAGTGTCTTTGTCGAGCCTCGCCGAGTGCTTCATTCCACAAATGAACCCGCCCGAGAACGTCCCTCAGCCGTTACAAGATCGCCTGACTCGTGAGTGCAACTTGTGTGAGCGCGTTAAAGTGTCAAAGCCCTCCATCTTCCCGACACTCAATGAACGGCTCACAATACATGATATTGAGCAGGCCAAAGCTCACCTCATGCGGTCAAAGCCCTCGCGCGCCACGGGGGTTGATGGGTCCTCTTATTCATGGATACTCGACCTTGATAACCAAATCCTATGTGATCTTCTTAACGCCTGTGTCGACGCCGGTGAAGTCCCTTCCGCTTGGCTGACCACACTTATTGAAGCCATTCGCAAGCGAGGTAGATGCGACTTCACTAATCCAAGTGAATACCGTGCCGTAGGACTTGAGAGCTGCATCTTGAAGTTCTTGACACTCATCATTCATATGAAGCCCTCTGATGCAGCCAAACAGGCTGGCATCATTCCTCCCTCCCAGAACGGCTTCCGGGAAAACCACAGAACAAACAATAATGTGTTCATCCTACGGACACTAATAGATGACACGAGGTCAAGAGGTGAGACTCTGTATGTTGCCTTCGTCGACATTTCAAATGCGTTTCCATCGACAAACCAACATCGGCTCTGGAATAAACTATATGACTATGGACTGACTGGCCGCTATTTTGACTGGCTCAGGACATTATACGACCACATGTCATATACAATTCTCCAGAACGGCAAACTTTCTGAGTGCTTTCACGCCCTATGCGGTGTCCTAATGGGCGATCCAGCTTCTCCAACACTTTGGAATCTATTTCTCTCATCTCTTCACCTCACTCCCAATCCAGATGACGCTGATCTCTGTGGCATTCATATCTCTCACTTGGAACATGCAGACGACATCGCAATTATTTCTCGGACACCTCATGGCCTGCAAAGGCAGCTTCACGAGCTCGAATCCTGGTGTAGCGACAATTTCCTTTCACTCGATGTTAAAAAATCTGTGATTATGATCTTTGGGCCTTTGCCCTCCCCGCTTCCCCGTCTCACACTCTCCGATCGCCCTCTTCAAATAAAACAATCCTGGCCTTACGTTGGTGTCTGGCTACAATCCTCTTCACGCGACATCTTTGCGATGCACTATAAAAAGAAGTCGGAAGCCGCCGTTGCTGTGGCCAGAAGTGTTTTTGGATGCGAATGTTTAGTTGGCAGGTCTCGGATCCCCCCTCATGTCGCTCAGTGCCTTTACTTTACTCTCATTGATTGCCACCTCACTCATGGCTGCGACGTCGCCGTCGACGTGGATTCATCATCAACGAATACCTTATTTGACATTCAAACTCGGTGTCTCTGTCGCATCCTTGGTCTTCCTCATCACTCCACCATCTCTCCTCTCTTCACCGAACTTGGTCTTTTGCCTCTCCGGTCCCGCCGATTGGAACTTTGTCTCAAATTCCTTTCTTATCTCGTTTCGGCACCGGACAATAGCCTCATTGCCCTCGCTTTAGTAGCGAACAATAACTTATGCTCTAACGGTCATCCGTGTTGGCTTATGGATGTCGATTGGGCAATCTCCAATTTGCCAGGCTCTCAGGATCGCCTCCCTCCTCTGAGGGACTTGTCTCCTCCACATATTCGCTCTATTATCACTGACATTTCTAATACAATGTTTCACCATCTGAATAACGACCTTAATTCTATGAGCAAATTACGCCTCCTGAAAGATCGGCTCGAACCACAGGAAACGGGTCCATTGTTGCCTTTACCATTACATCTTCGTCATTACCTCTTACAAGTTAAAAACTTTCGCCATCGGCTTTCCATCACTTGTCTCTTATGTGGTTCCTTGGCTCCCGGCCTTTTTCAGGCCACACCTGGCAAATGTACCCTTACCGCTGGACAGTTACCAACCGTTATTTCTCGTGTCGTTTATGTCACGCGCCGTTTGAGACACCCGAACATGTTCTCCTGCAATGCACGGCAATTCCTCCTTTGGTTCACCTACGTGTCCATTTCCGTGCCATCGCTACATTGTCCCCGCTCACTTCGATCCCACATGGCCAGCTCAGTGATGGGGATGCGTTACTTTATCTCAAACGGCGTATTTTTTCCTGGTCGGATGTCTCTTCCACGGCAAAATTTATCCACGAAGCCATACAGCTTTGGACTACAGCTATCTCAGGCATTCCGTTGGACTACGGCTCGGAAGGAGAGGATGAGGATTCTGATAGTGGATAATGGGAGTAGTAAAGGTTTTCATCGTACTTTATCATTAGCTAGCCTCTTTTCCGCTCTGGGGCCTTGCTACCCATCCCTACGCTGGACCTGCAGTCTACCTTCTCCTCGGGAGTCGAGCTCGCTGCTTGCGCTGTCGTAGGGACCGGCTGTTTCCCTTGCGGGACCACTGTCGGTATGCCGACTGGGCCGTGTACACCTTATACCTTATACCTTATACCACTTGAGCTAAGAAGGCATTGTTCACAATGCGGAGCATATGACACTCAAAGACAACTCAGAGACAAAGGATGGGAGCTAGACGATTTAGAATTGGAGAGCTTTTAGTCCCGATAGATTGAAAAAAAAAATGATATTCAGTTGGAAGCGTCGGTCTATACAAGTGAAATGCTCTACCACTGAGCTAAGGTGGCTTTATGCAGTTGGGAGGAAAGGCTGGATATGATACGAGGTCCTGGAAGGATGCAATCGAATTGAGAGCAAACGTTGGACTACCGACCAACCAACCGAACGGTTTAGTACTTCTAGTACTAAAGGGACAGTGGAGTCTGTACGTATCTCGTGTACGGATACATAAAAAACCAAAAAAAAACTCTCGCTGTCTCCATATTGCCTCCTAGCCGGATTGAACGACTGACCCTTTGCATTGTACTATCCATTGTACTACCTATGAAGCCATGAGCAATGATATACAAGTGGCAACGCTCTACCACTGAGCTAAAAACGCCTTTATGAGTAATGGGAGAATGGCTGGATATGATAAGAGGATCCTGGGAGGACGCAAAGGATTGAGAGCAGTAAGAATGATTGTTAAACGTTAAATCCCGATCGAGTCTTCCAACCGGCTAAGCACTCCAGAACATCCACAAACTCGGCCTGGGCCATAGGGCAAGAGCACAGCATAACCCTCGTGTTATACTCAGAGACGCGGACCGCATGAATGTAAAAACGCCACAAACAAAGTTATATCGTCGCAGATGGAAGCGGAAAATGGCCGTCTGAAGACCCGAGCTAGGAACGGTACATAGTTGCTTGGCCTCGTCGATTCCGAAGGCGCAAACACGTACCCTGTCTGTCGCTTCGAATCTAGCCTCCCAGTATCACCTGCGCTGTTCTGATGGCTCAAGTCAGCTTCGAGAGTGACAAGAAAGCGCTTGTGGTTGCCGGATGGCCTTACGGCTGCAAAGACTTCTCGATTTTCGGCTTTGGTCTGTCAGAGGGTCGTGGACCAGCGGGTTTACTGGCACCGTACAAGCTATCGGGAAGGTAGCATAAGGATATTTTGGAATTATCGAGGAATGGCAAGGCTGTTTGTGGGGTGTTGAAGTCATTCTGTTTCGCGTTGGCATCGAGACCGTCGAGTTCTAGTACGACCAGATCGATGAAGCGGCAGCTTGCGAGAGATAAGTTCTAGTTATTCCACGTAGGAATAGAAGTTGACGTGATGTTAAAGACTAGGCACCAGATGTCAGGGAGAGCAGCGGTGGAGGAACTCGCCGTTATCACTCATCGACATCCCGCTATCTCCTTCGCCACCATCTATGTCTACATCCTCCAACGCCGCACTCGGACTTGTTCTCGTTCGTTCGCCCATCGTAACCACCAGCGTTGCTTTCTTTCGTCTTCTTGCCATGTGCCAAGGGAACAGATTCAAAGACACGATGTACGCGCCGCTATTATCCGAAGGAATAGTAGCCAGGACTGCAGGTGGGGAATAGGCCTGGATACGGGCTTTGTGGATTCTACGCTGGCGGAAGGTTTTGGTGCAGTAGGTTCGGTAGCAGTGCCTGCAGAGACGAGGTTGTTTCATATCGTCGGTTTCTCTTCCAACGACTTGCTAAGCGTCTTCAACTCGTTGTCGAGGACGTTCGGTCCGTCGACCGATATCTTGCTATCAAGGCCTGGGCCTGGGCGTGAATGCGTGAACGTACATAAAGAGACAAAAACCGACGTGCAGAGCTGGAGGTAAGACGATATCGATGATGTGGCGGTCACACTTTTTGCTTATTACGTCAATCTCAAAAAGGATGCCTTCAAGCGCTCAGCTGAAGCGCTAAAGTTCGTTTCGTACAATGCAACAAACCTATGCCAACAAACCCGCACCAGCCCGCACCTCGGCCTCAAGGCCTCCACGTTTCAACGTTCAACCCGTACTTCTCTAATCGAAATCACGAGGCTGACGCCGTCGCGGTGCTTCCCCAACTTTGCTTCTCCATCCCTTCCAAGTTCAACCGTATCATTCCAATCGTTTCTTTGTTTGTACAGATAAATTATGATATTCCACGGCCACCCTCGGTGCAGGGCTCAAATAACCTCTTTCTTGCTCGGCAATGCAAGACCACTCCCTGTCCAGGGGCTCAAGCGCTCAAACTTTATCGCGGAACTCCAAGCACGATATGAATATTTCCAACAGTTGTTCATCTTGAACGAATTCATTTCAGCTTCAAGCTCAAAAATAAATAAATTAGAGGACAGACCTTTCGGGCTTAATCCATTCGCCTTAACCAACCTGTCATTATCCAACCTCGCCAGAGCCGGAGCTGCCGGAGCTGCCCGCCGAGTCGCAGCGCTTATATATCCACTAACAGCCCCCTCAGCATTAGTGATCCTGACTGCTCCAACGACCCTTCTACGCTTTTTCCCGGTATTATCTTCGATCATAAACGAGAACTGTGCACCATTATCGAAGGCAGGATCGGAATAATAGTTATTCAATTGAGGCACAAGAATCTGCGGCGTCCGTGGGTTATGCCCATTTTTGAGGATGTATAGGAATTTGGAGAGAGCTTTGAAGGCCTTGTCCGTCGGGGGTATCTTATCGGACCCACCCTCCCACTCCCCTTGCACGCGATACCCCTCGGGTTTGGGCATGGGTTTGGGTATGGGTATGGGTTTGGGTTTGGGTTTTGGATTAAAGAAACTGCGGGGTGTCACGTTCGTCACTTGGTCAGGTTTAACCTAGGAAGTCATGAGAACAGGGTGCCAATAGGGAGTGCATATCTTTTCGATAACTTACGGGAAAGGGGATGGCAAGCACTACTGACACATGTAGCACGAGCAAGACGATGGAAAAGAAACGCATGGGTGGTAAAGCAATCGAGGAAAGACGACACCCTTTTCGACCAGCGAAAGGGATAGCGAGGGAGTGGAGTCTGGACACAGTCGAGCCAAGCAAACTCTGTCGATCCCGTACTTATATCAATACGCGGGATCATGGCGGGATCAATGATCTTGTGATGGAAATATCTGGAGTTCCGGCACAGCATTCCTCCACCTATCAACTCGCGATGATTTTACTTAAATTCAATAAAATAAACTAATGCCATCGATTTCGTCTCAAATGGATCGTCTGTGTCGAGCCCACGTTCCCGACATTCGGAATCATAGACCTCGGTAAAGCGTGCTCACTTCCCATCTTCTTCGTAACTCAAGTACCGCCCAATGATCGTAGCTTCGCTCTAAAACAACAATATAATAATAACGCACTTGGATTAGAAGTATCGGGAGTGCTATGTAGTACATTGAGTTGAAGAACCCTTTCTAAACCAACGAACTAAATACTTTCACATCCAGACGACTTTTAACCCAACTCTATTGAACTTTAGATCTCTGTTACTCACTGTCACTCCAGTTAGAGATTGAATTGGGAAAAAAAAAAACAGTGAACTTACTTCTATATGACCTAGGTCCCACGTCTTTGGGTAGCACGTAACTTCCAGTTCACCGATGACCCCCCAGGGAGCCTTAAAAGTCCCCTTTTCCTTTGGCCCTTTAATTGTGTGTATGTTGTCGTGAGCTCCGTTGGCGCCTACGGCTGGGAACAGGTAGAGGACACAGTGATCAGAAAGGGGAGTGTCGAGCCTCACTTCCGTCGAATGGGGAACCTTGGCAGGAGTACCTTGAGGTACGCCCTTCGATGACACCTTGGGCCTGCTAGATATTGTGACGGGTGTCTCTTTCCCATTGGCATCGATGCCAACAATGATTATGTCTGGGAAGGGTGAATTATCGACGGGTGCGCTGGTATGAGCAAGGGAACCACCCTGGACAGGAGCAGCGAGGACGCAGTTAAAAGTGGCGACGGCGACGACAGCATAGAGCAGGGAAGTGCGCATGGTTGTGTGGATTTGGTAGAGACCAGCTCGATGTATGAGTGAAGAATTTGAGAAGACAAGACCGGCTTGTTGGGGGATTGAAAGGAGGGGAATCCTTGAGCTTAAGTGTCCAAAAACCAATGCAGGTTCGCGCTGGTTGAACCGTTCACGTCGCATGATCAGCCGATATGAAATCGCTCATGTTCCGGTTTTCTCCAATATTTCAAATGTTGACTAGGCTGAGCGGCGTATGAGCGCGCATGAGGGTGCATACCGCCTTTCGCCGCCCCTGAACAAACTGTCTCCTGCATTCATTATTTCCACTGGTCCCTTGCTGCTGGTATCTTGGTGTGAAGTTCACGTTGACTTATGTATCTCTTGCCTGCGACTTGGTTGGAATATTCAAGAGTAACCATCAGACGAGCATCAGACTCTGGGCCAGGGCTGTTGTAGGACCCCTGAAAATACCCTTTGGGGGTCGTTGCCGGCCGGTTCATATAATTGGGGGTGATTTGATACTGTTTTACTCGTTGAAATGTTCGTATAAGATGGCCCGCCGCAGGCAGAGCCGGTTGAGAGTTCGTATAAGGATGGCTTGCTGAAATGCCCTACCACAGCCATATGGTCTAACCAATGGGTCGGAAATTTTCAGATTACAGTACGATAAAATTGAAGTGTAGATAGGGTAAATTAGTATGTAGAAGCCTCTTGGAAACACAGAGAACGTGAAATTATACTCTGCAGCATCTCCAGGGAAAATCTGAGGGTCGTTGAAAATTTGTATAAACAGGGACTTCGGAGCCCAATTTTGGTTCGTATAATAGCGGCCGCAGGCCCGGAAAATTTCAACGACCCCCCAAAGGGTATTTTCAGTAGTGCTGGGTATCAAAGGCATGGGTATGATACCAAGCCGTATTATACCTGTATTATACTGTATCATACGTTTAATACCGTGAGGCCCTAAAAAGTGATGTATTTTATGTATTAAACTCGAAATTCATCTCAGACCATAGGGCCATATCCTCTGTCTTGTATACCATGGAAGAGCTGTAGTAATGTCTTTCCAAACCCTGTGAAGATATCTAACATCCAGCTATTGCTTGTCAGCGCTTCAGCACCAAGGCAGCGTCTCAGTGGCAAGGATTTGCCTGCCTTTTTTCAGTTCAATCACGTCGCATCGCGCTCTGTCATGCTGTCTTTTCTCAAAGACTATAAGGCTCTCAAAGAGACTTCTTCCCTCCTTCCTGAAGAATAAAGAATTTGTTGAACTTGATCATGTCTTTGGAGTGATAGAGCTGGATATTCAGATGCAAAAGTTTGGGCAACCCTTCAACTTCAAAGTCTAACTGTCGGAAAACGAAGGATGTGCAGCTGAAGTTTGGTAGGGTAAATCTCTTTAATACCTATGATACGTTTAATACCAAGTAAAATACACGTATAATACGTATTATACCGGAAATTTTCGGGCCTGCGGCGCCGGTATTATACAAAAATACACTGTGTTTTGGTGTAACGGAGTTGTGACTCGTTACGCTGGCGTCTAACACTTTCCTTAATTGTTTTGATTATTCACTCATTATTTACTTGTTTCATTTCGTATAGTATCTGCTTATGGTAATAGGCTTTAGAAAGG